CTTGGCCTCCCCCTGCCCCAGGGCCCTCGGAGGGTTCAGGCGGCACTCACGCTGCTGGGGTGGAGCGTGGGCAGAGGCAGAAGCAGGATCGGCACCAGGATGGACAGCAGCAGCTTCCTGGCCCGGAGCAGGCCCTTCAGCAAACCCATCCCGGACCGCTGTGCGCTCTGGGCCTCGGAGCCGCCCGGCCGGCCAGACAAACGCCTTCGCTCCTCACGGTGCACTCGGTCCGGAGAGACTTCTAAGCCCCCCTCGGCTTCCACGCGTCCTGTGTCGTCGTGGGGCAGAACGGGAGGGCAGTTACAGCCCCTGCTCGCCCAGGAGGCCGGGCTCCTTGCTCCTGCTGTGGGTGGGATCGGTGAGCATGGTTTCATGCCCGGCCAGAAGGAACTGGGAAAGGATGGGAAGCCGGGGCATAGCGGGTTCCCTCTTTGCGGGGTTAGTAGTAGAGTAATTTCATTTTAGGGCCAGCAAAAGTCCCCTTAATCGGTGAAAATTCCAATTCCACCTCTGCTGTAGCTGTTTGTCCTTGAAGAAGTCATTTAAAGGCTTAAAAACAATTCAAGATCCCAAGAGTACACGGTACCCTCTGTCAGTTTCTCTCTCTCCGATGGCCTGTCTTGGGCAGCACCAGTTTCACTTCCTACCTGTGCTCATGTACCCCCTTCCTTTAAATAAAATCTAGCACCCCCTTTCCTTAAATCCAGCCCCCTGAGTTTGTCAGCAGAAGATGCAGAGTTCAGTTGGGGCTGGGCTTCTTTCCCAGGGCCTGGCACCTTCCCTGAGTTCAAATTTCCTTCCTTCAGATTGATTTCCCACTTATGATTTGCCTTGAGCCTGGGCCTCCGGAGCAGGAAGAAAAAAAAAAAGTCCCCAGACATTCCTGGTTGTCACGGGACAAAATCTAGCTGGAGGCCCACCTTAACTTCCATTCACCTATGGGAAGCCAGGCAGAGGCCCACTCCCGCAGCCAATCAGAGCGTCCGAAATGAGGAGTCAGTAGCAATTCCAAAGGCTCTCTCCTCCATTGGGCCCAGCAGGGGCCTGCTGATTCTGCAGAACTTAGGCAACTTGCAAAGCTTATTTTTGTTTCTCAGGCATCCCAGGGGCTGGAGTGATGACCAACATTGTAAACATAACCCTGCTTCCCTCCAAGCACTGCTTTGTCGTAAGAGACCCTAGGACACAGAACTGGCTCTGGGAGGGCCACTGCTGACCTAGTCCTTAGGAGGAGTATGTATCTGGTGGCAAGGAGAAAAGGAAATATTAATTCTGGAGACCATTTGCCCCAGAGTATACAACGTTAAACCTTGCAGACTTCTCTGGTGACAAAGAGCGTCCGATAAAGCATCCGAGTCAGCAGAGGGTGTGCGCCTGCAAGGAAGACCGGATCTTTGTAGGGAGAACTGGAAGGACAGCTGCCTCTCTGGAGAAGTCTAGATGCCAGTGTCGTTTCAGAGGCCCTGGGTGCCTGGATGGCAGAGGTCTTTCTGGCTGGAGTAGGTGCTCCAATGCTCCTCTCTGAGGCTTTTTACCAAAAAAGAAGCAGAAGGCTTCCTTTGGCTGGGCTTCACGGAGGAGGTGGGAGGACAGGGAAGTTGACAAGCTCAGGGACAGGGCCTTTGCAGCAGGTGGACTCTGGACTTTCGCTGCTTACAGATCGGGAGAAGCTGTTAGCCTTTCTCAGAAAGGACATGGGGGTTTGGGGCAAGGAAGAAAAGAAAAAAAAGAAGGAAAGAAAGAGAGAGAGAGAAAGGAAAAAAGAAAGAAAACCCAAGCGTTCTGCAAGGGGTGGTCCTGAGCAGCACGGCCCTGATCTGAGAGATGCTGAGCAGAGTCAAGGGTTATGAAACCCACGTTCTTGGATTCACGGAATGTAAGGAATGGTGCTCCGAGATCTATAGCTATGCCAGTTGGGAATGATCCCCAGGCTAAAGTGCCTGGAAAACTGGCTCCAGAAAACCAGTTCTTCTTGACTACTAAGGCTGGTGCAACCGTGGACAGCCCAGGTCCCCTGAGAAACTACCTTGCTCTTACAGGATGGGCTGTGATGACTTATCTCTTTAAATGCATGTTAAAGACGATGGTATTTGCTACATTCGGACCTTATTTTCGTGAGGATTTCAAAACTCAGACTGGGCAGTGCCACACGTGTGATGTTTTGGTGGCAAATATTAAAGAGGCTGGACAATAATAAATAGCCGTGGAAATCAACATTGCTGTTAAACCCACGGACCACTTCAAATTCCTGAGTGAGATGGGCTGAGACAACAAGGATGCCACTGAGCCTAAGAGCTCCATCATGACATATTTATTACCACTAGCGAATATTCGTTAAATAAAATTAGGTAAGGCGAGTGACACAGTATGGCCAGTCGTTCTTCAGAACTCTACCCACTTTTCAGATGAAGAGAACATTTTTCAGAATACGACAGTAAGAAATGTAAGACAAATACCACTTATATGAGGTATGGAAAGTAGTCAAACTCTTAGAAATGGAATGTGGAATGGTAATCGCCAGGGGCTGGGGGACAGGGAAAGGGGAGTTGTTGTTCCATAGATACCATTTTTCCAGATTGGAAGAGCTCTAGAGAGCTGTCACAGAACAAGAGCATGTAGTTAACATCACCATACACGAAAATATGGTTCGGATGGTAAATTCATGTTGTCTGGTTTTTTTTTACAATAAAAAAAAATACATGAAAATGGTTTGGAAAATAAGGGGTGCCGTGTAAAGTCATTTAACAAGCATTTGATCTTAGACCAGGTTACCTGTGGAAACACCTTCTTACTGGTTCACCACTTAGGAGATTCTCCTTCAGTTTGGATTCAAGGTGAGCCCAGAGAGCAATGAAAGTTCCAGCACACAGATGTTTTTCAAAGTCTCTTGAGTGACACCAGAGGTAGCCATGAGGGCAACTATGGAAGGAACCTCCAGAATTTCTAGATCCTCAAATTTCCCAGCAATATAGAAACAGCAGAATTGCTTCCATAAGTTACAGGCAAGTTTCCACTACAAACATCACCCCCCCCAGTTATCCCGTTTATGAGTAAATGTGACAAAATGTGAGTTGGTTGTGGCTGTGGTGTGTACAGTGTGGCATTAATGAGGCAAAAAGGAAGATTCCCCTTCTGTCCAGTTGTCTGCTTTTCTGTTGTTGTTGTTATTAACCTTCACCTGAGGATATTTTTTTCCATTGATTTTTAGAGGGAGTGGAAGGGAGGGAGGGGGAGAGAGAGAGAAACACCGATGAGAGACACATTGATCGGTTGCCTCCCATGCGTACCCTGGCTGGANTGATTTTTAGAGGGAGTGGAAGGGAGGGAGGGGGAGAGAGAGAGAAACACTGATGAGAGACACATTGATCGGTTGCCTCCCATGCATACCCTGGCTGGGGATCAAACCTGCAACCCAGGTATGTGCCCTTGACCGGGAATTGAACCTGAGACCCTTCCGTGCATGGGATGATGCTCTAACCACTGAGCCACATGGGCCAGGGCCAGACTTCTTTCTTGTTCATTGGGCAGAGAGGCGGGTTTCAGGGTGGCGGTCGTGAGCATATTTGGTTTTGTATGGAAATGAAGTCATGGTTAGAAAGCTTTTTGTGGGTANAGACTTCTTTCTTGTTCATTGGGCAGAGAGGCGGGTTTCAGGGTGGCGGTGGTTTTGTATGGAAATGAAGTCATGGTTAGAAAGCTTTTTGTGGGTGAACAATTAATTTGTATTCAGACTGAAATAGTGTTTAAGTATCTAGTTACTGAAAATGAAAGGTTCGTTGGTCTAAAAAAGGCCATGCCTTTCTTGTTTCCGTTTTTTCCGGTCATGTATCGCCACATAAACATGGGCCCGGGTTTATGGACACAGAAGCATCTTTACTATTTTGTTCCAGGGTGAATGAACCACCACCCACCGCTGTCCCTGGTCTGGGACCCATCCTCCCATTCACGGATCCCCACCCTGGGAGCAGCCACCTATATCCTGACATGGTAACTGGGGACCACAGGGTGGGTCTTCCCAGCTGGTGACTGAAGGCTCCCAGACCCCTTCTGATGGGGTGGAGCCCCAGAGTGGGATGCAGGGCTGCCGGTCAGGGCAATGACTGCACAGTGTCTAGGGACCGAGGCCTCTGCTCCCCCCTCCTCACCCCACATCAAGGAAAAGTGCGAAGTGAAGGTAGATTGTGAGGCTAACCTGCCTGTGGGCAGTCCCACCCCCGTCTCCACTCTGCCCTTTGTTTCATCAGACAGCGAGACCCAAAGGAGACCGCAGGCCAGTGAGCTCAGGGTATGGATGCGGGCGGGGAGATAGTACACAGATGTCGCCCCAGGGCGCCCGGAGCTGCTTCCAGAAATGGGGGCAAAGATAATCAGAATCAGGCCCAAGGAGAGCCCTGCAGAGAGACTAAAATTAAAAAAAAAAAAGAGAGGTGAGCAGAGTGGCCATGTCAAAGAGAGCAGGTAATATTAGAGAGGAAAACTGAGCCAAAAAGCACCTATCAGTCCGCATTTGAGGGGGGTAAGCGAGCAGTGTGATTAGGGAAGAAGAAGGAGAGGGCGTGAGCTATTAGCCTGCTGAGCCTGAGACCATCAGGACGCAAAGCCGTGTTTTGCTCTGGTACCTTCCTCCCACATTCTAGTATTTCTCCAAAAAGATCACACAGCTGGTGCTGCCAGGCAGAACTCACGTGCTCAACGATTTTAAAGACGTCCAGACCAGCTGTTGCCCTCATCAAATAACAGTTGGTAAATACCCGTTTCAAAGGCAAATTTAGCCCAAGGAAACCTCACTCGTTCAAAGATCAGACTGTTCGTGATGTGAGCCTCCAGGACCAGGCTGTAAACCCGGGAGAAGCCAGAGAGCTCCGAGCGAGGGAGGAATCTTTACTGGAACCCAGGCCCTTCAATCCAGGCAGGGGCCTTCATCCATTAACTCATTAACACATAATTTTAACAAGCCTAGCTATCTTATTTTTAGGCGATGGCAGCTAAGAAAACAAAATGCAAAGGACAAGTGATGTTGGTGACAGATAAGAGCGCAGGCTTCTAGCCTGACAGCGAGGAAGTCAGCAGGAAAACTTGCTGGGATACAGAGTTAGCGCAGCCCGGGACCCCCCGGGGTTGGTGTAACAGCCCGGCAGACCCCTCAGGTCCGGGTGTGCTATCTCAGGGTTAATGAAATGATTGTGGAAATTTCAGAAGTCCAAGAGTCTTAGCGATTATGTTATCCAACCCCTTCATTAGAATGTTTCAGAGATACTAAAAGCTTAAGGCATTTCATCTGCGTAGTTTTGGAATTACGAAGTTGATATCACTAAAATGAAAAATCAGCATTTGAAAGAGTAAAGTTCCGTCATCTGAAAATCAGCCTTGCTTGGAGCACTGAGTTCTCTGACGATGCTAAGGCATTTGAGCATTAGGATGGAAAGGGAAGGCCGCTGGTGCCCCCCTTGGTTAGGATGACCCTCTCTGCATTGGCTTGGCTTCTCTGTTCTAAAGACAAGGCCCGCCGGTCTGTGGCAGACCAGCCTTCAGGTGAGAAAAGTCAAAACATCCCGCTCAGACAATTCCCGATGTTCTGACTCGTCTCGGTGACTTTAGAAAAGTTGAGGAGTCTACCCTCGGCTAACGTATTTATTGGCTGTAGCTCTCCCTTCTTTGTATCTTACTACAGAACCTTCAGAAGGCTGTGCGTTCAACCCAGCACCCTGATCTCTTAGGGCCAAAGAAATCTGTCCCCCATCGTCCCCCCGTGCTCAAACCTCTATGACGTCTCCTCCAGCTGTGTCCTCTCTCGTGGGTGTTTGAGGCAGCCACTCAGTGTTGAAGCGGATCCTAGACTCTGCATGTCACCAGGCGAACCATTCGGCCTCTGGAGGCACCTTGAATGATCCCCTCCAGCCCTTTCTTCCGGCCCAGGTCACACTGTGACATGAATCAGATGCGCCTGTCAGGAAGCTACAACAGGTAAAGAGCATGGGGCCGAATCATTTTATCTCTGCTACTCTGAGCTGGTGGCATGTGTTGTGCTGCTGGTCTGTGTAAGTGGAGGGGAGAATGAAGAATTTCTGGATTACTGTGTGTGCTGGGCCCCGCTCCAGGTCCCGGTGCGGGCCAGTGTCTCAGGCAGACACTCTGGAGCCTGAGGACCGCAGCAGGTCCTGCCTGAGGGCCTGGAAAAGGCTAAGCAGGGACTGGGCCCAGATGTCCTTCTGGTGCCCTTGGGACAGGGCGGTGCGGTAGGCCGCGTAGGCCAGGGTCAGCGCTGTCCTTTCGAAGTCCTCTTTCTTGAGGATGCCCGGGTGGCTGGAGAGGCTGGCACTGAGGCGGCGGATGTCGGGGATGCGTTTGGGGATCACAGCGTTGCAGACGGTGCGGAAGGCCTGTGCCTCGCGCAAGGAGGCGAGCTCTTCGTCCCTGATGGAGATCTCCAGGTCTGGGCCGATCTCGAGTTCAGCTAGCAGGAACTGGCGAGAGACACGAGAGGCGGAAAGACATGAAGCGCTTGCACTGCTGAGGACCCCACAGATTTCTTCTCCCCTGCGTTCATTTGGGGAGGCAGCTGCGGAAAGGGCTTTGGAGTGCAAGGGACCTGGGTTCCAGTTCTGACATTCCCGCCAACCGTGTAACCTTGGACGAGCCACTTAACTTCTCTGAGCCTCGCTTTCCTCCCCTGTGACATGATTAGGAGCAAAAATACTTTACAGGGCTATTGTGGGGAATCAATAAGACAAACATGGACACCATCTAACACTGTCCCTGGTACAAAGCCACTATTTAATGACTATTATTTCTAGTGTCCCAGATTAATCCATTCTTCCCTTTCTCCCTCCCACCCACTGAAGATCTTCTAAGCCATGAACCGACTATTTCAGAACACTTTAAATCAGGGGCTGGGGATTGAAGGAGGCAAAGAATTATGCTAGGAATGAAGTGGGATACAGAGACTTGTCCTCACTTCCCCCTGCTCTTTAAGGGCAGGGGTGGGGTCTGCCACATGCATCCCTTGGCTGCAGCAGGCTAGGCTGTCTCTTCCATAGCCAGATAATTCTGGAACATGGAGGATGTCAGGGCAGGAGGGGGGTGTAGACTTGGAGATCACTGTAGTCCCTCATTTAACAGCTGAGGAGATCCAGGCCCAGAGAGACACAGTGGCTTCTGCAAGGTTACATAGCCGATGGGGGTGGGGTGGGGGGTGGCAGAACCAGAACTAAAGCTCAGATCTAGAGCCTGGAATTTTACCGCTGAACCAAATAAAGCGGCCTTGGGAAATCTCCCTGCGGTTTGGAGAAGTGGGGTCTGAGTGGCAGAGTGTGAGAGGCAGAGGAAGGGAGCCTTCAGGGTGGGCCAGACGGTCAGAAGCTGGGCTGTCACAGTTGGCAGCTACCTGAGACAGGGCTCCACCGAGACAAGCGGCCGGGCATTGCCTGAACCCGAGGAAGAGCCCTGCCTCCCAGCCTCTGCCTGAGACTCTTGCCCCACTCTGCTGCTTGGGTGCTGGGAGTGGCACCTTGGGGCCAAACCTAAATCTCTAATTTTGCCTCCAGTGACCTCCTAATGCCATCATTCCCTGTTCTGGCAAGTGGGAAAAGGAAGGAGATACAGGGACTACGAGGATTTGATGGCCCCCATAGTGAGTCCAGCCTAGTCCCTAAGGCAGCAGAGGCCAGTCATTTTCAGGGACTCGGGTCACTTCTCCAAAACACAGAAAAGTTGCAATGCCGTTGGGGAGAACGTGGCCACCTGCACCCCTGCCTACCTCGTAGAGCAGTTCTACCTCCTCCAGGGAGCTCTGCAGGATGGGATTCAAGGGCATTGAGGACGATCTCTTGGGCCGATGGGCAGCAGGGAACAGCACGGCTGCAAGAAACGAAAGAATGAGCTCCACGGGCTGTGGCACTTGGCCTTCCCCCTCCGTAACCTTGAGGTCAGCCAGCCGGTCTTGGAAGTGACCGACTCGAAGCTGTGATGGTCGTGGAGATGACGGACAACGCTGGTGTGTCCCAGAGAGAGAGAGAGCTCCCAGGCATGTCAGATGTCACTATTTCAGGCCAGTGACTTCAGACCTGGCCGCTTATCAGAGTCATCCCTGAAAGCTTTGAAAATGTAGTGACCAGGGGTGGGCAAAAGTAGGTTTATAGTTTTTTGTGTGGTTATAATTATTACAGTAGCTTTATTAACTGTGTTTCAAGGACTCACAACCGTAAACCCGCTTTTGCCCACCCCTATATGTCAAGGGAACTTATGTTAAAATAAAACAGAAATGAGCAAATGGCAAACCCCTTCAAATTCAACAAATGAGTTCCCTAATTGTACTGTTCTACAGCAGTAATGCCCATTTCAGCACTTGAGCAATATGAAGTCCTGGTTTATATTTATTGACAACCCTTTTCATCAGAGGATCTGACTTCTGGCCATTCCCCAGCCCTCTGAAATACAGCTGCCAAGAATCTGGACACAGGTGACAAAGGAAAGGAAGAGAGCCGCCCCAAGACCCTGACAGGCGGCTCTAGGGGTGTGTGGAGCCAGGCTCAGGGTTCCCAGCAAAGGCCAGCTGGCTTAGAAATGCACCTGGGACAAAGTCAATTACTTGCTAATGCTGTTTCACTGTTTCTTTGTGGGTGCGTTCAGGAACAGTAGCTGGAGGGAGATGGATGGGCGGCTATGGGTAGAGAAGGTAGACAGGGTAACGAGAGTTAGGACCTCACTGAGGACAAGTGAAGGGGAAGACAGAATGTTACAGAGTGTGGGAATAATCTTTATAAAGTGCAGTTCTCTGGGTGGCGTCAGGCTGGGAGCAGTCAGCCCTGCCCACCCCGAGGCCCCTGGGTGCACCAGGGCGCAGAGCGGACAGGATTGGCAAGCCTGCTGCCAGCTGAGAGAAAAGGGTACAGCTTCTTGCACCTAAGGTAACTGGGCAGGGGGATATGTCAGATGTTCAATCCTAAGTCAGACCCCCTTGATCTTAGACGACCCTTCTTTCTGCTGCAATATGCTGCCTTTCAAAACAGTTGTTCAAGCCCTGACTGGGCATGAACCACCAACACAGCAATTAAAAGCAAAACATAAATAATTGCCTAGGGAGATTTTGGGTAAACCTCATATTCTGGGAGATGCTCCCAAAGGCATAAATGAGAAAGTAAGAGTCTCTATTTGGCTGATACCTTGAGTCCAGAAGCAGTAAATGAACACATTGTACCACTTGAGGAAGTTATGTCTTAGAAGTACTTAACATAAATCACGCCATTTAAAAAAAGAACGAAAAATGTACAGTTTCTTCGACACGGGGTTGTGGTCTCCCAGAAAACTGGGTAACTAACTAAAAAATCTGAGACTCTGAGGTAGGTAGCGCCCCCTGAAGTTGTGCGAAGCACAGTTTGCATAACCATGCATGACAGCTCCGCTTCGTGGTAAAGGTGGCCTGGGGCCATCAAGAAAGGGCCCGCGACGTCCAGTGTACCGTGTTAAAGACGGCAGGAGCTGCATGGGCATTTTAGAAAAAATGCAGTGCAACGTGATAGAAACAAAACATCTTTGCTATAAAGACGTTTCCTGAAAAGCTCACTGGTAGGAATCTCCCACTCCCTGGAAATAGCAGGTTGGGTGGAGTATTGCTGTAATATTGCTTTCTCTCTACTTATTTATTATCTATACCACAATTTCCTCTGGGGTTGGGATAAATATGGTTTTAGGTTTCTGGCCCCAGCAGATCCTGGCAGGCTTCTGGGCCGAGCCCTAGGTGCCGCCGTAGGCTCACCAAACCCTGCCCTGGGGGAGACCTTGGCAGGCAGTGACCTCTGCTTCCCCAGGCCATGGTGGGAAGGGGCCTGCGAGCTCCAGAGCAATGTTTCCTAGCCTAGCACTTTAGCAGAATTTGTTTTCTTTGCCAGAGAAGTGCCAATTTCCCACAGAATCAGAGGTTTTGGGGCTTCTCTGTTCGCTCATTGCCTCTGCCTGTAGTTTTCGGTGGAGCTCAGGAGAGTGAGGCGTCTCCTGCTCCTCAGTTCACAAAACCTTGACTGCACATTAGCATCACCCCAGGGGCTTTAACAAATGCTGGTGCCTGCCCTGGCTGGGGTTCTCAGTGGTTAGAGCGCTGGCCCGTGCACCGAAGGGTCGCAGGTTGGATTCCTGGTCAAGGGCACATACCTGGGTTGCAGGGTTTTCTGTTGTTGTTGTTTTTAATATATCTTGATTGATTTCAGAGAAAGGAAGGAAGAGGGAGAGAGACATAGAAACATTAATGATGAGCGAGTTGTCATCAATAGGCTCCCTCCTGCACGCCCCTGACTGGGGGTCGAACCCACAACCCGGGCATGTGCCCTGACCGGGAATTGAACCCCGATCGCCTGGATCCTAGGGCGATGCTCAACCACTGAGCCACGCCCGGCCGGGCTGGGTTGCAGGTTTGATCCCCGGCCCTGGTTGGGGCACATATGGGAGGCAACCAACTGATGTTTCTCTCTCTCCACCCCCCCTCTAAAAAAAAAAAAATCAATGAAAAAATATCCTCAGCTGAGGATTAACAACAACAAAATACTGGTGCCTGGGTCCCAGGTCCAGAGGTTCTGACTTAATCGAACTAGGATGCAACTGAGGCAGTAAGATTTTTAGAAGCTTCCTAGGTGCCTCTAATGGCAGCCAGGGCTGAGGACCAGAGGGTGCGTGACCACGGTTGGCCCAGTGGCTCTCAACCTTGACTATACATGAGAATCACCTGGGAGTTTAAAAAACCCAAATGCCCAAGGCCACTCCCAGGCCAGTTCCTGGGCACCTCTGGGGTGGATGAAGGCATCAGAACTTTTTATGGCGCCCAGGTGATTATAACAGGCAGGCAGGGTTGATAACCACTGGGCATCCAGATCCACAGCCAAGCACACGGCACCAAAGTGCAAAGCTCACTCCCACCTGAGGCCTTACAGGATCATCTGGAGGCCAAGGCAAACGAGTAGAGACACAAAGAGGGTGTGTGCTTTGACTGCTTTCTCCTTGGTGGGAGATGACACCAGGGCCAGACCTAGCCCTAGACTAAGGTGTGACCTGTTCCTATGAAAGTGTAGATGAACCCTCTTCTCGGGTTAGGATCTGAGAGCAACTTTACTTCTCTAATTCTTCTTCCAGAATTTCTCTCTTATTGTGAAATTAAAGGTACTGGTTGCCTTAAAAACATTCACCCCCCCGCAGGCGAAGCGGAAAGGAGGGGAGCAGCCAGCTCTGGGCCTGCGTCTCAGCGGCTGCCCAGGCCTGACGCCGCATGAATGGGGCCGGGACACCTTCATCTCCGCTGGAGATGCTGCATGTTATGTCTGCTCCATACAGTCACTCCAGATGTTTTTGTCCATAAAGGTGAAGTCTGGACCCTGCAAGAAATGTAAGTGCCCAAAACAAGGGCTTCCAGAGGTATGTGTGCAAAGCTTGAAACTAGACTTGCTCCCACTTGGTGAGAAAGCCAGCCCTGTTCCCCCAGGAAGCCTTCCCCGGGAGCCTGCCGCACACTGTGGTCCCCTCTCTGTCCTGTGGCTTCTGCATCCCCCCCACACAGCTCACATCTTGCCCGCTACCCAGCTCCCAGGACAGAAATGGGCTCCACACTTGCTCTGCTTGGCCTCGGTGCCTGCGTGAAGCTGGGCGCTGAGTGCAGGCCCAGTGCCTATATTTTGGAGTGATAGTATAAAAACCCAAACAGCTGTTAAAAATAAAAAAGAACAACAAAACAGAACATCCCTGGAGACTCTCCCACTCAGGCTTTGCTGGGCTTTCTTCCTTTCCCTTCCGTCCCATCTCCCAAATTTATGGAGGTCATTTTAAGTTCAGCTCCCGCCTCACTGCCAGCCGTTGGGCAGCACAGTCTTTGCAGGGCTGATCGGAAGAGACCTGAGTGCTCCTCCTGGACTGCCATTAGCAAGGGCACCTCTGAGGGAGGAGGGAGAGGGGCATGGGCTGGGGAGACCAGGGACTGACTGGCAGAAGGACCCCGCACCCACCTAGGCACCACCTGAGCACTGAGCTTTGGGCAAGAAGACTGCTGGCACAGTTTTGTCAAAATCGCTGACCTTGTGTATTTTTTTGGTGTAAAACTGGGCCAATGTGTTTCACTCAATGCTCCACACCCAGCTCACTCTCCAGCTATTTCTTTAGGGTGTAAATGAGCCACGAGGGCCACTCAGTGTAAGGGGACAAGAGAGACTCCCAGTGTCCTTGTATGCCAGTCTGCTGCACGGGCTGGCTTTGGGGCAGGGAGCTGTGAGCTCTCCCTGCACTCGCCGACAGATGAGCCTTGGGGAGAAATTGAGTGTTTACGATTCTGTTGGACAAACCAGCACAGACCAGAACAAACGATTCACTTGCTGAAGGTCATGCCGCGTGTGCTGAGTTAGTGCAGAAATTGGACCCGGACATGCAGGAACCATGTGTCCCAGCATGTTCTGTCCATGTCTCCTGTTGAAAGACACGTTTAGACCTCAGACCCAAGTTGTTAAATTGCGGAGCTCAGGTGTAACAGCGGCTCAGGAGCCCACTGTGTGCCCAGCAACGTGCTTTGTGCTTTCCAGGTGCACCTTGTGAGGTAAGTATTCCTATCCCATGTTAGAGATGCAGAAACGTGGAGGTTAAGAAACTTGTCCTGGGCCATCCGATTTGCTTGCTATAGGGCTGAGATTAAAACCCAGATCTCACAGACTCCAAACCCACTCTCGCCAACAGGGTGAACAATGCTATCTTTTTGTAGGCACATCCGCCCAAAGTCTGGATGTTCCTCAGTTATGAATAACTATAGGAAGGAAAATGTTAATTGTGAATGGATGAATGGATATGGTCTAAAACATATTCTTAAATGGAGCACACGTATTTTAAAAGATCTCTAACTTTGATTTATAATGTGACATAAAAGGTCGTATGACTACAACCCAATGCTCGCTCTTACACAGATCCTCACCCCCTTTGCTCCCTCTGCTCCTGTGCAGTCACTTGGCATGAAGTCCCACCGCCTCCTTCCCGCCCCGCAGCTGCACCTGCGCACCCGAGTGTGGCTGGAGCAAAACACAGCTGTTGTCTCACTGGAAATTCGGGTCGTTATTCTCACGCGGCCCTTACATGCTGCCCGACCCTTCCCCTTATTTCCCAGTTCCTCTCTATTTCTCTGCGGAACAGACGATGACTTTACCCCCTCTGCTTCCTCCCTGAGCCAGTCACCGCCTCCTGCCCAGATACCGACTCCTGTCACTGTGCATGCTCCTGTCTACAGCCGACTGTCCCAGGTATGTGAAGTCTCCAAGAAAAATGTGGCTCACCTCTCCACCTTCTCTCCTATGTGGCTACTTTCCCCCTCTCCACTGGATCGTTCACATCAACATGAAAACATGTCACTTCTTCTATTAAAAAAAATCCCTCCTCCCTGTCTGCTCC